GCATCGGCACATGCTTCCGCGGAGGACCACGCTGGTATGGTAAGCGAGTCTGTGAGGTCAGGTGCCAGGCGGTGGCAGCTGCATCATGGTTTCTTTCAAGAGAGTTTCTTCGAACATCCTCAATAAGACGGGCTCAAACTCATCATCTTGGAGGTCGCTGCCTTTGAATGAGCTCGTGTAAGTGGTGGTGCACCCGTAGGGATTTGAGGTCCTGTCGCACCTAGGGGGTTTCAGCGTTCCGGATTTTTGTGAAGCGAGTTCCGGGACCGTTTCCTTGGGAGACAGTTGCTGTAAGAACTTCCACGAACCTGATTCGATCCTTTTGAAGAGATTCCCAAGCATCCTCACTACGGCGGGGTCAGTTACCGATCCATCGTTACTTGATCTCTCGGGTACCAGCTCGGCGTAAGGAGGTGTCTCCGACGCTACTGCGTTGGAAATCTCCGGGCGACTTTGCAGCTGAGCGATAGCCAACTGCTGTGCCTGTAACATTTCAAAAATAACATGAAGATTAACTTCCTGTTCTACTCGGGCTGGGGTTTTTTTAGCTTCCTATCGGTCAATGCGCTGTATTCTGTCATCGGTGCGCGAGGCTTCGTCAACCTTTTGCGTGCCTTGCAAGCCCGCGTCCTCTTGAGTCGACCTAAATGCGTTATCGGAGTCCTGCGGTGTTGCACTAACCTCTGGAGTAGCCATACTATTTTCGCCGTGGTTTTTGGCGTAGTCATTCTCGATTTTGCTTACCGAGCTGGATATTAACCTGAAATCAAAAGATCTTGGGCAAGAAAAAGTGTTAAAGATAATGTGCGTTTGTGTGACGAAACTAGCAAGAAAATAATCACTATTATTTTTATCCCCACGGTGGGCGCCAAACTGTTTACCGTAAAAATGGTAAAAACAATTAAATTTGTTAATGAGATTCTAAAAATACGTGATCTATTCCCGAGCTAGTTGTTAGAGCAGTTGATGCTAAGAACGTATAGTATAATGATGAAATGCAAGTTAAAACGAGACTATAATCAAACCGAAGGGCCTGTTGCCCGAATGCAAAGCCGGTCGATAAGGACCTCGAGGTCGGGATTCGAACCGAGCTCGAGCTATCGGGGACAACTGGGAATAGGATAACAATTAAGGATACGATCAAGCGAGGCTCTTTATGTTTAGTGTTGTGCAACATAGCATGAAACAAGTAAGAAGACAATAGATATTAAAGCAGCCTCGGGCCAGTGAGAACAAGCAAAATAGGAGAAAAGAGAGAGAGATATTATTGCATTTGTGGAGAAAATGGAGCAACATCCGCCCTTTACAAAGAGGTATGGGTTCCCCTTATATAGGCGAGGGAACATGATACGGTACAAATATGTGGAGATTAAACACAAAGTACGGAGATGGGATGGTTTGACGTGATGCCTCAACATAGACTCTAGATAGGATGGGCCTGTCAGACGTAGCTATGTGCCTTGGGGGCTTCCCCCTCCGTCCTGGCTTTGGTCTTTGTTTCCTTAGAGCCGGGCTCCGACGATCCCCGAGGTCGGGAACTTGTACCAGGCCAGGATCGAATCCCAAGGCATGCTTATGAAATGTCCCGACAGTGAGAAATCAAGTCTTCTGATTTCGCCGCATACACACATTATTGCCCTAGATTCTTGCTACCCGTTAGATATATAACTAGGTTGAAGTCACTACCCTAGTCACTTTAAATATTTGAAAACAACAAATCAAAACATTGTACTTAGTTTCAAATACTGCATGCTATAGAATAAAAGTAGAAGTAAAAAACAAACCAACCATTTGTGGAAGTGCAATTAAGATCAAAACCCACATCTAGACTCAGATATAAACCTAACTCCAAAAAATTAACTCCCTGTGGATTCGATCCTGGCCTTTGTTAGGTAAAACTGCATCGACTATCCTTGCTACTCAATAGTAGTGTAGGCTTCGACTCGATCAATCACTAGTAGGACCTGGTACAGATGAACCTTGAACTGATGGAGCATAGGATGAACACTAAGCTGGGAGGGCATTGAAAGATGACTGACCTAGACGAGCACTGTATGAACCATGTCTAACTGATACACTCCGATGAGTCGGTCCATCTGAGCAGGCCTATTAGAATGACCTCTGCTGTGGTGGGACTATTCTCCAAATAAGGCACTACTGAAACAATCCAAACCTCGAGGCCTCTTGCCCTTCCTCTCCTCATGCTCCTAACTATAAGCTTGCTCTAGGCGTCTAGCAATACCAACCACCTTGTTAAACCTCGCACCCGGCGCAATCTCTCTAGTCATGATGAAACGTAATCCATAGCTGAGGCCATCAATGAACCCCCTATTCCTCTCCCTCTCTGTGGGAACTAACCATACCGCATGATAAGCCAACTCTAAAATCTCATCTCATACTAGGTCACTCACATACCCTCCTAGAGTAGCTGCTCAAACAACCAACGCAACTCCTCTCTAGGAGTCTGTGGAACAAGTTTCTCTAAGAAGAGAACTGAGAACTCATGCAACGTAAGTGGTGTAGCACCTGCTGGCTTGCTCAACTCATTGTCCTCCCACAATCTGTAGGATGCCCCCGTCAACTGAAAATAGTAAATGAAACCTTACTGGTCTCCAAAATAACATGCAAAGGATCCACTAGAACATGTCTATAAAATCCTTAGCATCCTCTGACTCGGCTCCACTAAACTCTGGAGGCTTGAGTTTCACGACCCAAACCGAAGGGTGACGATGGGCACCCGGTGTCTTACTCAACCGAGTATAAGTGGAAAAGCACTATATCAGTGAACCATCTTTCTTAAAACATAAATACATATAGGCCGTCAAGGCTTCTGACATACTGTACAAAATGAACCTCTGTCTACAAAGCCTCTAAGAGTATTTGACATCAAATGGGATAGGGTACCGGCCTACCCATAAGTCTGTAGCAAAATTCTGACACGATGACTTATAGACTTGGCTGCACTCCGAATGAGTTGGAGTCTTACCGATCCTTCGCTGAATGCTAACCTCGTCTATTATGAGGGCTCGTCAAATTGATTTTCTATACCTACTGGCATGAATGTAGCGTCTCCAACAAAAAAAGTCAGTACGAATAATGTACCGAGTATGTTAAGGTAGATAAATAAGTATATAAAAGACATGGAAGAAACATGGAGTAAATGAGTCAACCTGTAAGTCTAGATAACTCCGTAAATTATGAAATATTTAGAGTGTCATGCATATGCGTATGAATGTCATGTCTTGCATACGTACTTGTGTTCATAACATCATCAAACCTCTAAGGGCATCCCATCATATCATCTCGGCCACTACGGGCAAAATCATCAACGAATACCAACTGATCAGGTAGTGGTGCATATATAATGTTGTAACCTTTTCCCATATCACATACACATATAATAATATATATACGCATATATAATGCCATATGTTCATGGCTCAATGTACATGTATAAATGAATGCAATGCATGATAAGTACATCAATAAAATCTTTCATAATGTCATAAGACCATTATGTCTTTGAGTAATATTATGAAGTAAACTTTTTCAACTTATGTATTTTTTTGAGACCCATGAACAGAAGATGTAATAATAAGACACATAGAAATTCAAGAACATAGGCACCTCTAATACTTTATGAATAGAATCATTTATGAAAGTTGTGCATTTACTCGTTTCGTTTGTGTCGTATCGATCATGCCAAAAGGAAATAAGGGACATCCTTAACATACCTGAGCCGATTCTCTTGACAATCTATCTAACACAAGTCTTTTGCGAATAACACGTAATGGCGGATCAAAGTAGGGACAAATCCGTATGATATTCTTGAGAAAGATTGTACTATGCTCTCTTAGAATCGCATTTTCCGCTACTGTAGCAAGCCATCCGTTAGCAAGCCTATGTATTTCCCCTTGAGAAAGAGAATGCACAACTTTCCATCCGCTAGCAAGCCTAGCTCTCTTATAAGGGTTCATAAGAATTCCTTTGCAAGTGTCATGCGTTAGTAGCAGCCCATGATTTCCCTCTTAAATGATATATAACGATCTCTTATTTTTGAGATTTGTGGGCCCCACTTTTGAGATGACTTAGCCACCAATTCTTCTAAATATGCCAGATAGTCCATGAATGAAGAGTCATTGTTACCCATTTGTCTTGCTGCCACATTGAGGCTTATCCGAAAACCTTAATTAAATAGTTAATCTTTCACTAAAATCAATAATTACTCAGGTATCCACATAATTAAGAATTATCCCAAATTACTTAAAATACTACTCACTTTTAACACACTTTACACACTTTATTATCATGGTCATGTGGTACCTTGTAGGGTACTAGTCCATAAATACCAGGTATTATAGCTTGGACCGTATTTTATCCGAAATTATCAAATTTCGACGAATCTCATTTTCTTCGATTCGCTTACCCTCTCACCTTCACGAGTTTATTTATTTCTTGTTTGAAATAACATAATACTTATAATCTCCAAATAATCTTTTCCTTGGACTGATGTCAATTATCTTATGACAAATTCAGTGTGCAATATTACAGGGTACAACATCATCATAATTTAATATTGTGGAGCGTAACATCGATGTAATATTGCGGGGCGTAACATCATTTCCCCTTTTGGATCATTCATCCTTGAATGTTGACTAATGAATTTATCGGTCTCATAACCGGATGATTATTACAAATGGTTTTAACACTATCCTTGCCATTTAGGCAATTGTTCTGTGAATAAATCCAAAGTCTAGGACATTTCCACCTTTAAGTCTCTTTCTCATACCACGACCCGTGGTCGGAGATACCTAATATTTCCCTCATATTTTTAAAACATATATATATACTTTCAAAATAGTATACTTTTTTGGTCATGAAAGATTACTTAATATTACTTAGGGAGAATTACAGGGAGGGTGTATTGGGCACCATTGGTAGTACATAAGTAGGATCCCCGTAGGGATTTTGTGCTATACTATTACTATCTATCATACTAGGATCCACATGTGGATCGAGAAAAAAAACTAGAAATACTAGAAAAAGTAGAACTACTACAAGCAGTTGTAGGGGCGGAGGGGCAAAAGAGGTTTTGGGGTACATGGGGGAAGGGTGGGTTGTGTTCAACAAACTATTGGTAATGAGTCTCTACCTTGCTACTCCTGCTTGGTCTTCCATAACTTCTTTTTTAACAAAAGGTGGTGCCTTGTCAAAAAGATGTGTGCTGCCTCCATGGGTAGTTGTGAACCATATTTAGCTAGTGCATCAGCAACCATGTTGGCCTCCGTATAAGTGTGGCTAAGGATGGGATCACCCAGCTACCGTAGTAGCCACCTGCAATCATGAATTAAGTGAGTATACTGTGGGTTATCATGTTGTAGTAAGGTGATTACCTCTTCGGCGTCGATATTTATTTCTAGAGCTTCATAACCATATTGTAAAGAGAGTCGTAATCCATAGAGTAAGGCAGTGAGTTCCGTCTGGATGCTGTTTGCAAACCCAATGTTACCTAAGAATCCTAGTTGCCATTCACCAGTGGAGGAGCGGATAACCCCTCATATGCCATTGACACCTGGCTTTGTGGAGACCACTCCATCAGTGTTAAGTTTATAGAAGTTTGGTGCAGGAGGATTCCGTTTTATATAGAAAGGGATTAAAGGCTTGCGTGGTGGAGATTTATGTGTAAGAAAGTAAAATTCCGCAGCGTGATGAATTATTTGAGAGTGATTGAGAGGATCCTTACGATTATTAAAAATATTATGGTTGCGATTGAGCCAAATGCCCCATAGAATAAAAGGAAAGAGAGTGGTGAGTGGAATATTATGTGGGGTGGTTATGGGTTGATTTATAAGTGTGTGAATGTGTTCAAATATGTGGAGGTTTTGTTGGTTTAGATGATACGCATTGGTGCGGATGCCTAACTTTTCTCATATAAGGTGTGTGTGTGAGCATTCTAAAAACATGTGTGTTAAAAATTCAGGTTCAAGAGAGCAATGGTGGCTAATATCATTGGTTGTAATTTTTAGATGCGCTTAATCCCAAATTAGTGTATATGGTGATGCTTGGCACAAAGGCAAATATATGCTATGTATTTTATGGAGGAGCAATGGTGGTAGTTCAAACGCGATATTTGCAAGATCCCATTGAGTATGTGCTATATAGTGGCTCACAGTGTTGTGGGTTTCTGATTGCGGTAGGGGACCGGATATAAGTGATCAGAAACCCACAACACTGTGAGCCACTATATAGCACATACTCAATGGGATCTTGCAAATATCGCGTTTGAACTACCACCATCGCTCCTCCATAAAATACATAGCATATATTTGCCTTTGTTCCAAGCATCACCATATACACTAATTTGGGATTAACACATTCAGGTACATTCACTATTAAATCTTGTTATAATACACTAGTACCCACAAAAAACTACCCTTATAATTGGTTATGGAAACTCCATCTACCACCAAAATTAAAACTCTTTCTATGGCTATGTATCCATCAAAGAATACCCTCAAATACCTATTTAGCACATCTAAAAATTACAACCAATGATATTTGCCACCATTGCTCTCTTGAACCTGAATCTTTAACACACATGTTTTTAGATTGCTCACACACACCTTATATGAGAAAAGTTAGGCATCCGCACCAATGCGTATCATCTAAACCAACAAAACCTCCACATATTTGAACACATTCACACACTTATAAATCAACTCATAACCACCCCACATATCGCTAATGAATTATCGCTAATAAATTATAGGGGCACTAGGGGAGATCCAGTTGTCATGACAAGAATTTATGTGGTATCCATTAGCGATAATTCATTGGGTGCCTATTGTGTAGTAGCTCCAGCCTTTGATGTTGTTTTTCCATGTGAAGGATGCTTTCTTGGAGTTAAGTTAACTGGATAGAAGTACTGAGGCCCAGAGGGCCGATGGATTTTTAAATAATCGCCAAGCTAGGCTTGCGAGAAGCTCTTTATTTTTTACGGATAAGTTTTGTATTCCAAGACCTCCATTATACTTGGGCATGGTAATGTTGTACCATTTGAGTAGATGAAGTTGTTTCTTCTGTGAAGATGACCCCCAAAGAAAGGTTTTTTGGTAAGGGTCCAAAGATCGAATTATATTTTGTGGAACGAAAATATATTGCATGGTATGGTTTGGGAGGGAGTTGAGGGTCGAACGTATAAGTGTTCTTCGCCTGGCCATGGTTAGGCATTTGGTTATTTAGACTGAGAGTCTAGATTTGAAATTATCTAGAAGGTGCTGGAAATCTTATTTAGTAGCTTTTTGGGTAAATATAGGAAATCCAAGGTATTTGCCAAAGGAGCAACCTTCAGACATATTAAATGAACTAAGAACAAATTGTTTATTAACTAAGGAGCAATTACTAGAGAAGAAGATTTTTGACTTGGAAAAATTTATTTTTTGACCTGCCAGTTGCGTGAAATGGTTTAGGGTATCAATTATAGAGTGGCAGGAAGTACTAGTAATTTTAGAAGTGAGAGAGTTTTGGCCCTGGTTTGGCTATAGTGATGGGTGCCCATTGGTTGTAGTCTACTGCTTGGTCGATAGAGCAAGCAAGCATTTCCATGCATAATATAAAAAGGTAGGGTGAGAGTGGGTCACCTTGACGAATTCCTCTGGTGGGTTGGAAGTAGTCTGTAGGAGCACCATTAAAGAGTATGAAAATGGAGGGTGTGGTGATGCATGACATAATTAAGTTGATAATATTGTGAGGAAAGTTTAGGTAGATTAATGCTCGTTTAATAAAGACCACTCGAGGCGATCAAAAGCTTTTTCGAGGTCTAATTTATAGAGCATATGAGGAATTTTTCCTTTCATTCATCGAAATTTGTTAAGGATTTCCTGTACTATTATGGGATTATCAGAGGCTCTACGACCCTGTAGGAAGCTGGCTTGGGTTGGACTAACGATTTTTGGAAGGAATTTCTTAATACAGTTAACTAGGATTTTGTTGATAATCTTGTAAATCGTGTTGCATAAACTAATGGGTCTAAATTGGGTGAGTTGAGCAGTATTGCGTTGCGTAGGGATCAGGCAAAGGTAAGTTCGATTAATGTCTTTAAGAATGAACCCTTGATTGAATATTGTATGGCAAAAGGTGAGGACAGAGGGAGCTATTTTGTGCCAGTATGTTTGATAAAAAAAATGGGTGGAGACCATCAGGTCCCGGTGCTTTGAAGGGTTTGAAAGAGTGAATTGCTATAATTATTTCAAAGTCTTGAAGGGGACGGTTCAAAGAATTATTCTATTGCATGGACAGTGTATAATAGGTGTTGACGGGAAAGGTGCGAGGAGAGAATGTTTGGTCAGTGGTGAATAGGTTGGTAAAGTAGTTGATAAATTTATCGCGAATAGTTGCAATATCATAGCACCAGCTTCTTGCTAGGTATTTTATTGCAGTAATGTGATTACGTCTACGCCTAATTAAAGTGGATAAGTGAAAAAAATTTGTGTTGGCATCCCCCTCGTTGAGCCAGGTAACACGGGATTTGAGTTTCCATAAGTCTTCTTCTAATTTAAGAATGGTATTGTATTCTAAATGAGGTCATTCTCTAGATTTTGTAAAAATGAGCTAGTAGGGTAGTGAGCTAAGGATTGGAGTCCTGATAGTCTAGCTAATATATTTTTTTACGTTTAAAGATATTGCCAAAAGTATGGCGATTCCATGCTGTGACAGTATCAATAAAGCATCAAATGGCTTGCAGTAAATCGGTATTGTTAGCCCAGATGTGAGAGATCATTGGCCTAAGGTCCGGGTGTGAGGTCCAGATTGTTTCAAAGCAAAAAGGTTTCTTAGAGGGAGCTAAATTTTTATTTAAAGTTATGAGGAGTGGACACTATTTGGAATGAGTTCTAGGTAAGTGAGAGACTATTGCGTCAGGGACTAAGGCATTCCAGTCATAATTAACGAAGTATCTATCTAGGCGTTCCAAAATTATGCTACCATATTGTCGTTTATTTGACCACATATATCTACTTCCTTTAAACCCTAGATCAAGGAGACTACATTAGTTTATACAATCTAGAAATTTATTAGTTCTATTAAAATTGATACTTCTCCCGCCAAATTTTCCAGAGCTTCGAAGTATCTTATTAAAATCGCCTGCTAAGAGCCATGGGCCTTTGTAAGCATTATCTATGCATCGTAGATTATCCCAAAGGATAGTACAGTTATGTGAGTTAGGGCTAGCATAAATATCAGAAAACATCCATTTATGAGGTTGGGGAATTACCTGAAGCACGCAATGTATTTCTTGATGAGTGGTTGCTACTACTTCCACTTGGAGAACATCTTGTGTCCAAAATATAGCAATTCCACCCGAGTGGCCCTCAATTGGTACTTCTGCCATCTGGGTGAAGCGAAAGTCTTCCTTTATGAATTAGTGGTTTGCTAGGTAAGTTTCCACAAGAACCACCAGTGATTGGCGGTGATAATTAAGTATTGAACGAAAATTATGTCTAAATTCGGGTGACTGAGCACCCCCTACAATTCTATACAACAAAATTTATATTATTATGGTTAGGGGGTGTTGGAGGTGAGTCCTCTCTTGGGTTCATGCTCTGGTCGTTTGACTGTATCAATTGTGGGCGTAGAGATGGCGTTATTATTAGGACATACTTCCCCACATCCAGATTGATTGTGGGTCGGATTCTGATGGAGCACCTGACTAGGTTGTGAGGGCAGTTGAGAATGTATTTTTTTGCTAACTCTTCTTTGAGGACTAAGACATTTATGCCATTGAGCTTCACTGGTTTTGGACAAGTTTCTCTGAAGTTTATCATTGCTTAGGGTAATTTCTTGGTGGAATACTGCATTTTATTCTTATTGACTGGGAGAGTATGGTGGTGACAGTTCTGGGGAGAGGGTCGTTAGGTCTGTCACCCCTGTTGGTAAGGAGGGAGCTATGGGTAGAGATGGTAGTAGGTAAGGTTGGATCCATGGGGGAGGAGGTGTTGTTGGAGTTGGTGGATAGAATGATAGGTTGATCGTATATATTGGTGGGGGAGCATTGTCCCAGTATGGAATGGGTAGAGGAGTTGGATTGTATAAAAAGAGGTTGGTCAGAGGGAGCATAGACCAGAGGTACTGGCCGTAGATGTCCGTCGCTAGGGTCATGCCCTATGATATTATCTGAGCAAGGTCGGAGGGGTTGTTCAAGAGTATTGTAACTTCTTGTTCATTCACAGTAAGTGTGAACATTAGTGCATGATTTTGAAGGCTGAGTTCCAACCAGGAGGAGGGGTCCTGTGGAGCTTGGGGTGTCTAGGCTGTGTAGTAAGGTGAGGTTGGATTCATTGTTAGGGTGTGTGTTATTGGTGGAGGGTGTGGTATGAGAACTGAGGAAGGGGAGGATGTTGGGGGTGGAAGGGGGGATTGCGTTTGTTGTTGTAGCATGCCGGAAGGCGAGGCATTTGGAGTTATGGATATGTTAGATTCTTGAGGTGTGGAGTGGGATATTATTTGGTTATTAGGTTTTATAAGTGTAGGAATGTTTGGATTGGGCGGTGAGTTATGAATTGGGCTTGAAGAAAACATTTTGCTATAGGGGTTGGTGTTTGTTGAAGGAGGTGATCGGGTTTCTTGGATTGCAATGTTGGCGTGTGGAAGTAGATTTTCAGAGAGATCATTGGCTTTGGTTTTGTTGAAGTAGGCTTGTAATTGATGTTCTATAGTAGGTCTTTGATGTGTCGTAGAGGTGGATGATGTGGATGCATGTGGGACGTGTAGGGTTGTATTAGTGGCAGTATTGGACAGGTGTTGGGGGTTGAATAGGGTAGTGAGATCGGTGGTGATATTGGAGAGAGTGTTCTGCTTATGATCTAGTGGGCTTGGGTCATTTTATTGGAGGTGAGTATGGTTACTTAGGGTATTGGACTGGCACAATTCATCTTTGTTATTGGGCTG